GTACTCTGAACCTTCAACAATTCGTAATAATATGATTACTCGGATTACTACAACGCTTAAAAATATTTCACTGAAGATATTAAGAAGAGCAGTGAATCATTTAATACATCGAATTCATCTGTGTCGTCGAGTTCAAGGTCAAAACATTGAACATTTATTGTAAGGAACGGAAATGCAGGGCATATATTTTACTTTACTATAAATTTGTGACTTACAATTAGATTGATCTAGAATGTTTTTGTGTAATATACCAATGAATTTGTCTTAAAAAAGGCTGTCATATAATGTAATAAAAAATATGGCATTTCATTAAAAAAAATGAAGTTTATTTTGAAATGTCCCCAACGCGTCCACTATAAAATAATTATTTTCACTATATGATGTCCCTCTTTGTATTGAACATGTTGGTACAAACCGTATGTCTTTAAATTTTGCTAATAACACAGGCCCATAAATCATCTAGGGAAAAAAATTTTCAATCGAGAGCGATTTTCCTGAATGGTCCTATTTTGATGTCAGATTCGTATTCAACGATTCAAAATACATAGCTGGGTTTCTACCCCAGCACAAGGAATTTTTTTTTATGGACTTGTATAAATCGGTCACTTTATACGAATCATCCTGTATATTATATAATTATAATTTTAATAATATAAAATTAAAATTTTGTAAAAATGCAACGACTTGATTTTATTTTCTTAATTTATCACACAACTTTTTTCTTTTTAGCAGAAAGATAGAAAGAAATAATAATAAAAATATTTATTTGCATTAATATATTTCTTATTTAAAAAAAATAAGCTTTATTCTTTAAGATAAATATTAAATTTAACAGTTCAAAATAAATTAAAAATATATTAAATAATTTACGTGTGATTAAAATCTATTTGTAATTGACTTGTCAAATACTTTTTAGTATAAGTATACTAAAAGTAATACTTTTAGTATAATATGTAAAAAGAAAAATTAATTAACAACGATGTTGTTCGAGTAATGAAAATTAAACATATAAAAAGATTCCAGAAAAGAATTTCAGAATTGACTACGATATATAATACATATTACAAATTTCAATTTTAATTAATTCACAAAATTTAGACAGAAACTTTCATATCTTTCTTATATAATTCATGTAATTTTCATTGTGAATGTTACATGTCCTATGCAATATTCTAAGCATATTAATAAGTTTTGCTGAGTGTTTGCTCTTACACACTTCAACGTTATTTGCGATTAGACCTTGCTGCATTAAAGCACGACGAGTTGCCTGTAATCCAAGCCAAAGTAAACTATCATCACTCCGTCGTCTGTCAATCATCTGTCTCCTTTTCATTCTTTTAACGATTATTGATTGTCGCGATTTGCATACCGAGGCGATACAATCGCCATCAAAATGTTATCTTCTAATTTCACTCCTCACGAGTGAAATTAGAAAACGAATCGAAAATGTACAATATTAATTATCATAATTAAGGTTCATAAAAAAAGAGATTTCATTTTACTTTACATTTTCTGATAAATTGTTAGCTCAACGGAGAATTAATTTTTTCTTGAAAATGTATTAGTTCTCTCTATTGTGTCGACAAACAACGAAAGAGGTATAAATTTATAAAGAACTATCCTTCACACATTTTGATAACTTTGGATGTGTAAAGCATAAAAAAATATTAAATATTAATATTTTTTATTTACTTATGTCAAAGTTTAAGAGTCGAAACAATCACTCAAAAGTAATGGATTTTTTCATTTTCGGCTATTATCTTCGAAACTATGAGGTATATAACAAATGTTAAATTTTATATAGTGTATAAAAAATCTTTGGTATTTTTTATTTTTAGCACTGTTTATAGCTATTTATAACACTTACAGTATTTACATTTTTTGAAAATATTAAATTTTTTATAACCAAAGCCCATCAAAAGTGAGAGATAGTTCCGATATTTTCTTTATTAATAGATTGGAAGTTAAATCTAATTCTTTTTCGCGAACTTATTCGCGTGTAATTTCCAGTGTATCATCAGCGTGACTTTCTCCTCGAAGCTCCCTCACTTTATTCACCCCAGTATGCGTCAGCCCTATGCCTGTTTTTGCGACGAAACGTGACTGGCTGCCATTCCGCAAACGTTTTATCGAATCACGCGCGTTTTCCATCATACACCTCTAACATTCAGCACATCCGCGTTTTCCCGACACCCTCTTTCGTGTCTTGTTTACTCGAACTCTCCGTGCGATGGATCGAAGAAAGGTAAACGAAGCTATCTCCTTGTTTTCGATGAATGATAAACGAGTATACCCTGAGTTTCTACGCAGAATAATTACGTCGTTTCAAATACGCGCACATTTGCTTCCACGATATTGATCAAGAAACATTTGTGTTCTGTTATTTCTTTTAATTAATGCATAAAAACGTCATGTTTGCACATAACTGGCTCATACTTTCTAAAATTCAAAAATTTCAAATAGCTGTTGACTTGTTTCAAAATGCGGTGTGCAGGCATTGCACACGTGCGCCGTGCACGCCTGCAGCGATTCATTGTGAATGAGCCCATATGCCGCGAAAGTCATCCTCGTGTAACGTTATAAAGGGATGTCGGACAATAACGAATGAATCGCTACGTGCTGCGCGAATAATGCCGTCCGTTCTGCCGTGCCGATTACGATAAGCGCGCCGTCCTTAGGGACTATTTTTCCTCTTGTTCTTTGTCTGTATTCTTTCACCTGACGATTTGCATCGAATGATTATGCATCAATATTTAATAAACGATATTTTCATCGTCGTATGCAAATCTTGTCATGTTTTAGAAATCTAAATGCATTTTAGTCTTTAACATTAAAATTTTATAGGATTATCAATTCCTCATGCTAATATTCTATAACTTTTCATTGATTTCTAGATATCATTTTTCCTAATGCTTTTAAATTTTAAAATGTTTTATATATTTGTCCTGATTTGAAAACCATTAAATATTTTGTTAAATTATTCATTGGTCGGAAATTTTTGTACAACCACTGTATAATGTGAGCGAAATATTAGTTAGCATAAATTTTTATCATATATAAACATAAAAATTTAATAAATTTAATTACAACCCGTATATAATAAAAAGAAAAATTCTGTGGAACTTTGTGGAATAGATTTTTTTCAAGACGAAATTAGGTAATTTTCTCAACGTCAGAGAGCAATTTTCATTTCATCCCCAAAAAAAAACGGGAGAATTCGATTCCTTCGATTTTCGAGACATGCCAATATCTGCGTTCCCTTTTCTTTTTCTTTTTCTTCTTTGGCACACTTTACCGTACAGTTGAAGGACTTATTATCGGAAGCGAAGGAGAATACAACGGCAAGAGAAAATTGCTGATGCGCGCGATATCTACGTATTGATTTTGTCTCGAACTTTGAATCCGAATGTACCGGAACTGGTGAAACCGAACTCGTCCAGGTGAAACCGAGGACTCCAGACACTTCAGTCAGAAGACACTTGCCTTAAATTGAATTGTACTTTGGAGAAAGGAGCGACACGAACAGGCCAATGCAATTAGCTCGAGTATAGCCAAACAATTATACGAGTTAGTATCATTATAACTACTCCCGGCAAACATCATCAGAGAAGGATCGATATTACATGCTCCAATGTACGTCATGTGATCTAATTTCGATTCAATTTCAACGGAACTAGATTATTGCGTACGCATAAGCTGATCTCATTTCTCGGAATTAATCGCGAAAATAGAACGGTATATATAACTATATATATTTTGAGAAGGTATTCGCAAAAAAGAGTTTGTAAAATTTTTAAATCTCATTCTCCTGCAATGTAAGAAAAATCGATACGTGTCGCTTGAACGTGATATAACAACTTGAAAAATATTTGCCGTTTTGCTGTTGCCTGGCTAAAATCGCGCGCCATTATGTTAGTTTGGATTCTCGTACAAAAGTGCATCCTGCACGAGCATGAAGGACGGAAACAAGAAGAAAAAAAGAGACGAAAAACAAAGAATAAAATGAATGCTCGGCAACAAGGGCATTCAACGATGATACCAGATGAAAATGGAACTCATAAAATGCGGAAGCTCATAAAATGGGAAGCAAAAAATGGCAATTTTCAGTAAAGCTCTGTATCACTTGTGTCAGCATTTCCCAATAAGAGCAAAATTGCCAAAGCGAACGAGATACACCAGGACAATAAGGAAGACTCTAAAAAAAAACCTACGCTAAAACGCAACAACACGTTTTAAGAAATTGCGTCTTAAGTGCCGCGCCTTTGTAATAAACAAACTACTGGAGATACATTACTTTCTCTTTTATATAAAGAAATTATTGTAGCTTTTGAAAAATAGCTTAAAATTCCATACTGAAACGAATTATTTTTGTATGCGAGAAACAAAAAATTTTTTAATTTTTGAGTTTTATAATTATTGAGTTTGAAATATTTAAATATTTTTATCATGTAACAAAAAAGATAAAAATATGTAATTAAGAAAGAGAGAGAGGGTTGCAGAATAAAATGTGTTTAAATCAAGATCATTACAATTTGTTGATAATATAAAATATTCTAAACAAACCTTTTTAAAAAGGTGTAAGTTTTTAAGATAGAAAAAAATATCAAAAGAAAGAATTAAGAATTAATTTAAAAGAAAACGGCTTCTTTATTATTTGAGAAATTTTATAAAAATCGCACACCCAATGTAAATTTAGTGCCGGTTTCTCCGCATTGCGCGGCGATTTCTAGTCAAGACCACACTCTACGTCTCATGGGTCAATTCGATGGAGAATGTAGTGCGCAGCCGGCACAGACGGTTCTGTCAAAACCCCCCACCAATCCTTCGAGTACGGGTACAACCGCCACCGCCACCGCCATCGCCACCTCCACCGGTACTCCACCTCCAACTCTATCTCTCTTTCTCTTTCTCTCGTCCAACACTGCCGTCCACCACCATCGGCTCACCATCCACCATGGAAACCGACTAGTGCGCATTCTGATTTCAGTCAGGCAGACGATCTCAACCTGTCCAGGTCGATGTAAGCAGGTGTTCGTAGAAAACGATCCTATCTACCGGTCGTTGTTGCCAGCCGCGTTCGCATCGCGTTGGATTCTCTCTTTCATCGTGGATTTCCTGAGGTCATTTCGAGGTCACGGTGTCGAAACGAGAGGACAGGGTGACGGAACGGAGCTCGGAGCACCGCGAGCGGGAGTGCCGTCAAGAGGGTCGCGTTGGCGGGGCCCGGCCGGGATTTATGGAACCACCCCATGGATAGTAACATGTCAACCGCCGCCTTCATGCATCGGTATGAGAAAAAGAATATTAAATCGATATGCTAGTCATGTATACATGCATCTAACGCAGATACATACATATATGAGAAGCGTCCACGCTCCTCCCTGTTCGTGTCGTCGTCCGGTTGGGGTTTCTCGTGGTTCCCTCATGCGGCTTTCAAAAAGCTACCTCCGTGACCGATCGATGAGCTCGTTGCTATGTCGTGGCGCTGATAGAAACGCGTGAAGAGACCTCCATATAATCGCCAAAATACACATACCCAAGAAACACAAATAAAAATTAATAGAAAATCAAAATTTTATTTTGATTCTGAACATCATTAAATAGTCAAATTTATCATTTTGACTTTTATGACATCAAAATAAAGTCATTTTAATTTTTTTTATTTGATTTATTCCTTGGATAAGAGCATAGGTATTGAAAAATTACGTATGAACAAGTTCCAAAAAATGAATTAACATTATTTGAAGTGTATAAATATTAGCTGTACGATTGATATATTTGTTCGACTAAATACCAACGCTTCTGAATAGATCTTGTGCATGCAATACGTCGAAGAATTTTACATTTAACGCGAAGTTTGATAGAACCATCATTTACCATCTTCTAAAAATTGACTGATGACAAAAACACTGCTCCGTTCGTAACGATCGAGTGGATTGTGAAAAGATTTGCGTGCTTATGAAAGAATCCATCGTAATCAGTCTCAGAGTTGTTACTTCAGAATTGTACGAGAAACAATCGGTATTCAAACAATCGGTATTCTCTCGGTTTCATTCTCGCTCTATCATGCTGTTTCGACAAATAGTCGCTCTGCCCACGATTAATATTGCAAAAGAAAAAAAAAGCAAAAATACTTTCTCTATCTTCTCATACCGCACATTTTATTCGACAAATATCCCAGGAACACTAGGAATATCCTTAAGAATCCTAGGAATATCCTTAAGATATTCAGAAGATATGCAGACGTCTTTTGAATGTCTTTTAGGACGGCGTTTCTTGAAGGTCTGTGCTGTACGAATCACTTCCTCTTCTTTATGTAAAATTCTGACTTTTTTTATGTAAAATCTAAATTTTACATCATCTCCAAATGCTCTGCATTTAATTAACATTCAATTTTATGTCGGGTTCATTTAATAAAATATCTTATATTTACATATATAAGTTTATATCTGCGAGTTTTCGTTATAGTGGAATAAATTACACGTGCGAATCTTTATAAGGAGTTGTATACGTGTCGGAGGTAATGTTTTCGATCGAGGCACGACACAGTTCTCTATCCGATCGCCGAAGCGTGGAAGACTCTCGAGAATCCAGTCGCGGTAATCGTATGCACTTGCAAGGCAGCACGGCAGAGGCTACTTAGACGGCATTCCATTAACCTGCATTTTCGCAGAGGCGCATCACCTGTTCGGTTTCCCCGTGTACACGACATGATGTCGAATCGGACCAGCCCGGTTTCCTTGAACCTGCGGATACCGCAGCCATTGACCGCGCGCGGCCGGCTCTCGCCTCGTCTCCGTGACGAAAGGCCCTAAGTGCGCACCGTTCTCTCTCTCTCTCTCTCTCTCTCTCTCTTTCTCCCTCCTCCTCCTTCTCCCTTCCTCCGCATCCGTTCCCCACCTTGGCGATCTCTTTCTCACCGGACACCACGCGGACGGATACGCTTCTTTGGCGTTTCTGTGCTAAAACGCTAATTACTCTTCTGCTAATTGTACTTTTTTGAGCGACATTCTTTGAACACGATATCTTTTTATAATTTGTAATAGAAACTGGACGTATTGACAGATGTCATAGCCTTTTTGCAAAAAGACTAAAAAGTAGATTAGCGGCCATTTTGCATAAAGGCTGGCCCTTTTGCATAAAGACTAGCTTTTTTGCAAAAAGACTAATATTATTGGTACAATCACGATCAATTGTTCATTCTGATTATTAATTGTCAAAATCATCGATCTTCCAAAATCCTTCCAACATATTATTTCAACCTCAGACGATACCAAGAATGTACATATCTCACGCAGGAAAAAACACAAGTTTGCACACGCGCACGATGCGAGTTACGCGAAATGCAAAGCGAGCAAAACTCTCTCAGACGAGAAGAGCGACGAGGTGTATATCTCTCCGGAGCCGCGGGATATATTTTATCAACGCTGGCGGTGCATAAATCCCTTTTTCTTTCGCGCGACTACCAAGCCAGCTTACTCACTCCGCATTAATTCCGGCCGCGTTACCCTCCTATCTTTCCGGCCCTCCGCCTCGCGCGCATCGAAGTGCATCCCCATGTTCAGATCTCTAGGTGCGGCGGCTGGTTGCGAACTCGTACAAAAGCGAGACGCCGAGTGGCAATCGATATATCTTTCTATCTCTCTTTCTCTCACTCTCGGTTAGGCACGTATATCCTGCGGCTATCGGATGACACGGTGTCGATGGTCGAGGAAAGGAACCTTATGGATACGACGACGTTGCCTCGCGAAATGAACGGCTGTGATTGCGATCTCGGTTCGCGAATAATCCTCGGTAGATGTACGATCGGGATAAAAAAAAAGAGGAAAAAAGGAAAAAACGCTCGGACACGTCCCAGCGAAATTGCGAAAGCGATTTGCGAGCATGTAAATTACAGCACCACTTCGCAGAATCACCGCTCATACAGCAGACAGACGTATCCAGTGGGCATTTATGGACCTCCATGAAATATCTGAACGTCTTGAGAATTATTCCTTGAGAATTATTTATGTTAAATATATAAGAGACGCTTCTGATAAAATATTTTATGCGAAAACTACTGGAGATAAATCAAATTAACGTGACAATATCAACTGTTAAGAAATAGCGTTAAGCGAAAGCTAACAGTAAATAAATCTAGGTAGAATATACAAAGAAAAAAATTTTACTGTATATAAGTAATTAATTGTTTCAAATGTATTTTAAAAAAGTTCATATGTCTACAATCTATCATAGTAAGTTCATCAAACATCAAATTTATTCAACATATATTCTTCTAATGAATTAAATACTTTAATCAAGATTAAAACAAATTCGACTTGCTTATTATATTCTCTAAAATCGTTACTTCGATCAATTTTATATTCTTCTAGAAAAAAAAATAAATTCTTATTTTAAATAAAAGAAATGATATGATATTATGATATGGCCTCCTATTTTATTTTTATTACATTTTATACAATAACTTCGTTAATAATCAAAATTTAAATTTAAAACTTAATAATTACATTTGTCAAAGTATTGTTCAATCGATTCTAAACTCAAAGTTACGAAATATTTATTATATAGGACATTATTTATAAAAATATAGCGACACTGCATTAACGAAGAGAAACAGGCATGATAATTTCCTCCTATAAAAATAGATTTAAAAAATTGGTTTTGTTTAAAAAAAACAGTGTTTGATAATAAAATTAATAAAATAAAAAAACATTTTAGAATGTATGTAAATAAATGTATATACATACACATAACTTCTGCTTATAAGCTGCTCAGTACTAAAAATAGTACACGTAATATAAATTATAATAGATTAACAGAGTTATAATCGATTATCAAAAGTGATTATTTTGATATAAAAACTTCAAAAAAGAGACCGTAAGTAATCAATACGCACAGACGACACATCAGCAAAATGCCATGCTATGTATACATTCAAATTTGCATAACTCAAAATATATAGTCAAATAAAATGTTGAAAAGCACACAACACACTCAAATATACATATAATATATTCATGTGATAATACGCTGAACTTTAAAAAAAATGAGGAAGGAAGATATAATTAAATGCTAAAATGTATCTTAGAAACGTTTCGAAATACTTGAAAGTAAAAATGCATTATAATAAGTGCTGGCTATTGACTATTGGCATATTAACGTCATAGTGTAACGGCGAGCTACTGGTAAATAATTCCATACGTAATCATTATAATTTACTATATAATAGCGGAGAGAGATATTAAGGGAGACCACAAAGTCTAACATGATACCATCTTCTTCTCTATATAATAATGAATTTTTCTAAAATTTGTAATAAGTTTATATTTTAAGATTATTATTAAGAAAAAATATTCTTTGTTAAAGATTATCATTAAAAGGAAGAAAATAAATTGAATATTCATTTTTCTTAGCAATAGAATAATATTTTTCTGCATAGGTATACAAATTATAAAATCAATATGAAAGTCAAAATATCTCCAAAATGACTCCATAATGTCCACATAGATTAATTTTAGTCTCGGTTGAATTTACTCTTTATCCTTTTCTGATTCTTAGAACTAGAAAAAGATAAAAAGTAAGTTAAACTAAGATTTAAATTAATGTACATCTGCATAAGTTGCATTTGAAAAATTTATCTGAATACTCTAGTGAATCATCTTACCTTTATCCATTATACGAAAATAAGAATAAAATATACTTAGGCACTCGGATAAAGTTTCCAAACGCAACTTAAAAGCCTTTTTAATCAGTAACGATTCATTTTAATGTTATCGTGGCTTGTTGTTTTGTTTGCGAAGCCTCGATTGGAAAAAGCTATTCATAAGCAAAAACACCATTTCCAGAAAACATATGTTTACAGATTTTATTCTACCTCGTAGGATGTAACTATTTACAGCTTCCATTAATGTTAACTATAAAATAAATTTAAAATTTTATTTTCCTGAGTCTCGAACACGAACTTTTGGCTTTGATGTTCTTTTTCCCTAGTTGGCACTTTCTCAATTATACAAGGCTTGCTCTGCGACGCAGAGAAGGCTGCCGTAATTCGAAGTACATGTTGGCGAACTGGAGCAGCGAATGCGCGGAAAAACATACGGAAAAAGAGGATTTTCTCCTCGGCAACCGGTCGTACTCTCTAGCACTAGTCTAGAGAGACAAACAGTGTGACACTTTGCGATACGAGAAAGAATAAGGTCACACAAAGTTAGCGTGCTCGCATTCGATCACGGCGCTGCGCCATTCGCGTTAAAAGTTCATTCACGATGCAGCTGGAAGTTCCGCATG